ATTAATTAATTACTTAAATTAATTAATTACTACGACCCTCCTCCTACTAGAAGAACGTAACTACGTACTAACCCTACCTACTACTAGAAGAACGAACTACGACTACTACTATATATATATATATATATATATATATATATATATATTTTGGTGAAACATTTATTGGTGAAACATGGAGAACCTTCGACACCGAAAGGGGTGACATTTGCTCTTCATGGTGCGTTATTATATCATTCAATCAACAAATAATAAACATTCATGGGCTTTATATTATTATAATGATTGCTTCGCAAAAGATTCTCATGGGCTTTCGTCACGATAAACGTTGAAAAACTTGTTATATGAGAGAGAATGAGAGAGAGATTAATAGGGCAGAGAATAGGTTGGATTGGGTCCAGATCCACTGAGATCCAGATCTAGGTCCAAAAAGTATCCATAAAATATGGATCCGAATCCAGACCCAATGGGATCCAAAAAATTAATTTATGAATTATTTTATATCTATGAAATAATATATAATAAAAAAGAAGAAGTAAGAATGAGACCATTTACTTTTGATAGAAGGTGGTCACATTAATCTTAACCATTGGATGTGAAATTGGGTGGCTCCAATTATTCCATTGAGCAAGCTCAAACTTCAAAAAGATTTTTTTTGAACTTTGTGAAACATCCAAGCTATCAAATTTCAAATGGTTGTAAGGAATTGTGATCTTCTTCTATCAAAGGTAAATAGTCTTTTTGTATACAATCCCATATAAAAAAAACCTACATAATATATATGTATAAATAAAATAATATATAATATTTTAATAACTGGGTCGAATCAGCATCAGATCCACATGTATGTAGATCCAATCTAAATTACTAATCGGATCCATATCTGACCCATCAGATCCAAATCTTTCTAGATTTGGATAGGGTCTGAAATTCAAGTTTCAAATCCAAACTCGGAAAATTCTTAGCGCACTAAAAGACTATTTTAACTTGTTATGGGGAAGATTGACATGAGAAGATAGTTAGATGGAAATCAATAATATTTGGGTGTGGTGTGTATACGGCCGAGGTTAAACAATCAAAGTAAAGCGCACTGTCTAAAGATGTTATTTCAATACTGAAAATATATATGATGCCTTAAAATTTATTTTTATTTTTAATTATAAAATTTAAAGCTTCAAAATAGTATAGATTGAGCATATCTATGAATGCTTAAAATTCTTGAAAATTGACGATCCGAAATGTATTACGAGACGCACTATTTCTACGACTTGAAATCTATTTTTTCTCCTGTACATGCATCTTGACGTCGAGATGATCAATTTATCGAATTTTTGGCATCGAAACAACCTCTTCCAATGAATTTTTTTGATGTGCGCCTTAATTTAATTGTTGAGGGCTTCGCCCTTATATAAATTTTTTCCATAATATTTTGGCAAATATGCCCATTGCCTAGTGAACCCCTCTAAAAGTCACTAGAACAATAAAAGAAGGGGATGACAAGGACATACCTACGTTAAATGCTTTAATAAATTGCACTCCCTTTAGTCTAGAAGCCCCCTTTTGAACCACATCTAGGCCATTCCAAATTGAGTGAACATGATTTAATGGCTCTTAAAGTATCCAAAATTTACCTATCACTATTTAAAACTGCAAAAACAGCTAAGAGCTAGCCCTATATCTCCTTATAAATACCTCTGAGCCTCTTGATCCATAAGAAGCCTACTTCCTTTAAGCCACAGGCCCCCCCACTCTCTCTACACCTACTTCCTGTAAGCCACAGGACCTCTCTCTCTATAAATGGCCACAAACCAGGTCAAGCCAACCAACATGGAGGCAGGCCCACTCTCCATGAACAAACCCACAAAAACCTTTTTCACATCACAGATTATAATAAGGACAGTGGCCGCTGTATCAGCATTATCAGCTACTCTTATTATGATAACAAACAAGCAGTCAATCTCTCTCTTTGGCCTCCAAATCACTGCTAAATATACCGATTCATCAGCGTTCAGGTAAGAGCTAAAAGCTCTACTATATTTTGCTTCAGTAATTCTCAGAGTTTATATTATTTAGTTTTATTAATTCTAAGAGTTAATATTGTTGGGAAGTTCTAAGAAATTTACTTTATTTTATTGACAGGTTCTTAGTTGGTGTGAATGCTGTGGCCTTTGTATATTCCCTCTTATCGCTAGCCTTTGGTTTTCTCTTGAAGTCCCCTCTATGCAAGCCAGGAGGTCACTTATTTTTGTTATTCGACCTGGTAGGAACCGAGATCACAAAGGCACCACCTACATATAAGAAATCCTTTTTAGGGAAAATTATAGATTTCCCCTACACCCAACTTTCTAGGCATGCCCACTCTCATAATGTTTTTTAAATCATCTCACTAATCTCAATATTGTTTGTTATTGTACCCTCGTTTTTAAGTAAAAAAATAAATCTTTTCGACCAAAATGCCTTTCTAAACCATCACCTTTTGCACCCGCACCCCTTATTTGTTTAATGAAGTCGGTCTAGCACATAATGTGTTGGACCAGCCGGTCTGACACATATTGTGTTGGACGGGCTTCATTTTAAACAACGAACCCTGTTAGGCACAAGTCTTGTTTCTATTAAAGTCAGCCTGGTAGGTGTTGTGTCAGACCTGCTTCACTAAACAATTAAACTGTTCAGACACATAATGTGTTGGACCCCCTTTTATTCCTTATTGAAGCTGGTCGGCTACATATTGTGTCAAACCAACTTGATTTTTTTCTTTCGAGAGATAGAGGAGATAAAAAGAAGGTGTGTGGAGAGGCCGTATTTCCATCCTTAAAAAAATTACTTTTCTACTCCTCGGTAAATGCAAACATAAATAGTGTTGGTATGTATCAGAGGGCTGGCAACGAGTTAGGTCGGGTAGTGGACCCGAAAATATGGTATGGACATAAAATTAATATATATATATATGTTTAACTATATTTAAACTTATTTCATATATTGGGACCTGAAAAATATTAACAGAACCGGATCCAAAACAAAAGAGTGTTCGGATCCAAGATTTGGACCCAGGCCCTACTCGTCGGATCGAATTTTTGAACCCATACCGGGTCTACCCCTCAGGTCCCGGGTCAGTAGCATGGTTTAGAAAGTGTCAGGATTGGGCATCTCTCTTCTTATGTTCGTGTACATGAGCTGTAGTTTTTGAAATGTGTGTACAGATAATGGTGTGTTTGGTGATGGCTGGTTCATCTGCTGCAACTGCCATTGCATACGTGGCCAAGAATGGAGACTCTCACACTGGTTGGGTTCCCATATGCGATAATCTCCACACCTCTTGTGAACGTGCAGGCTTCTCTATGTTCTGCTCCTTCGCTTCTTTCTTTGCCCTCTTTCTCCTCACTTTGTTCTCTGCCTTTGGATTACCCTACCAACTGTAACTGTAACTTGCATTTGAATTCTTCATGGGAAGTTCCTTTATTTTCATATATATGTGTACTAAAAGTTTTCTTAGTGAACTATTTATAATCAGATTCACAATGTTGTGTAATAGACTTTGTGAACACTTCTTAGGAAGGCAACAGCTCTCCCAAAATAGCATCATGTGGCTAAATTTTTGTTCTGGGTTTCGCTAATTGCACCAATTGTGTTTGGCTGAGTACTTATATTTTGCTTAAGAGTAGAGAAACAAAGCTGAGGACAAATGTTCCCCGTTCTCTTAAAACTAGCTGATGGCTTGTAGTTGCGTAGTGATCTTGGTGAGAAATTAGTTGAGAAAATTGGGCAATCTAACCGGAAACAGCCTGGTTAGATTGGAACTGGGCCGTTTTTTGTTTCAACCAGTTTTGGTCCTGATATTATTTAAAAAATAAAATAAAATAATAATATATATATATAATCCAAAAAACTGGGGATTTTACTTGTAATAAATTTTTTAATGCTTTCATCATTATGGCAAAGATTGTAAATTGTTTTGGCCATTAATACTTGTTTTTACATTTTACCATCTATTTTTATAAATTTCAGAAATACCCCTTGGCACAACTCAATTCTCGATTTTATTTTCTAGTAATTGTCAACTTCATTTAGATGTGTTTTGGTTAATTATTCTTTAAATGTACTTTTCGTATATTATTAAACTTTTTTTATTTTTTATTTTTAACACTTTTTTGACTGCCTTCGAGTTGCCCAGTTAGAATGATTGAAACAACTGGTTTACCAATTAGGCCAATTGAACAACTTCCAGGTCCATGTCTGGTTGACCATTCCAGTTCGATTTTTTTTTACATTGGTTGAGATCTAATTTTAGAATATTTCTTGTAGATGAAGAAATAATTTATTAATTTTTAATGTTCATATTTGTTGTAGATAATTTACTATATTTTGTTAATTTTTATTTGATTTCATGCTTATGATTATGTTTTGAATTTCAGTCATTATAATACAATTCATCACATAGTAAGGTATAAATTTTCACAACGGTGTCATTTATTTATAATTTGGCGACCGGAAAATGGAGAAAATAGAATTAGAATGATCATAGCACCATAATTAATCATTAAGGTCATCAAATGAAGCAATTTATTATTAAAGTAATTATTTTAGCATCATCATTCACTCAAGTACCTACTCACGGGGAAGGTGCTGGGGTCGTGATGGTAGCACCCCCACACTTTAGGCACCACATTTTGGTTTCCATTCCCACAATTAATACCACCCCACTAACACGTTAAAAAAGCTAACTCTTAATCTACTTGGAAAGAGAAGTAGGCGCTTGTCCAAACCTAAAACAAGAAACTTTAGTGAAAAACATATTTTTTGAGTTCGATAACTAGATCAAGTGAGCGTAATTTCATCATTTTAGTGAATTCACTTGAGCCAAATGATATGGACCAATACAGATGTAATGTTCGGAACCCAAAAGTTGTGGTGTAACCATTACAGCCCATAGAAACAATTTCCTTGTTGAAATAGCTTCAAAGTGTTGTCTCACACCCAAAGAACAATTTTCATATGCTTCATGTCAATTTTTTACTGTTATGTTTTACGTAGACTTATCTGAAGTTATCTCTAGAATTGTAAAAACTTGAGTGTGTATTTTTATATACGCGATAAGACAATTAGTGTCCTTTGCGCTTCAATCTTTGATTATGAACAATTTTAAATGGAGATTAAGTTTGTGCAACTCTGTCGACCCGAAATATTTGAGATAAGTTCGGGTGATGATGATTAAGTTTTGTGTAACTTGAATAAATTTTTTGTTTGATAGGGTCTATGACTTAGGCATAGGACATAGACTATTTTTTTTAAAAAAAAAATAGAATCCTAGGAACTAGGCAATCCTGATTCCCAGAGGATCATGTCATTATCACCCTATGTGAGATTTTACCACAAGTTAGAGATAGATTAACTCTAGGGGAACCCTAGTACACCATGGAATACTCAAATGGTAGCATTGGATATCCAAAAATCAGAATAAATTTATTTGAATTATCTTTTAGCATGACCACCTCTCAAGATTGATTTCCATTGCTAACTTAGGAAGAAAATAAGGTGGGGTACAAGTAAAATTGTCAAGACTAGACCGGACTGGCGCAACAATAGGCCAGACAGTCGACTCGAGCCTAACGGAATCTTTTAAGCGAAAGTTCGTTTTGATCAAAAGAACCGGTCGTAATCAATATTGGACCAGTTTTGGTCAGTTAGATTGGTTATTCCAACTATATGGACCAAAAAATTATGATTGGACAATTCTTTTTTTAATATAATTTATAATTTATATTATTTTTGAAATCCTATTTGACATCAAGTAGAAAAATCAATTTCCATTGGATCAAACCTCTAACCGATGCAGTGAGCTAACCAACTGGCAATACTGGTTGCGAACATTTCTCATAAGAAAACTCTTCAAAGCAATTTGCTCGTGGCATCTGCAAACAAAAACTAAGGTGGGAGGCTTATGCCAGACAAAATTGTGACGACTAGGGGTTTAGACTAAGGCATGCAGTTGCATGAAATGAAATGTAAAGAATAACGTTTTTGTTGTTAAGTCTAATCTAAATGGCATGACACCACCACCGATAGTTTAAATGCATGTCAATGGCCTTAAAACATGAACAAATGGCTGAAATTTCTCTCTTTCCTGTCTTTTAACAATTAAAATTTGACAAGTTGCCGTTACGTGTCAATCATCCTCTGACTTTTTTTTTTTTAAATTGTCTTATCAGGCTTTTGTCTCATCAATCAAATGTTAATATCATTTCATATTGTAAATGGCACATGATTTACGACGTTACGTCCTACGCTCAATTCCTACTGACGGTCGGGCCCTCTCCCCAATGACCCACAAACAAGAAAAATAAAAAGCACATCATTTATACCCTCTTGTTATCCTTGATAATTGAATCTGTTGAAAAACATTTTGTAGACTCGTGGGTTGAAATTGTATTATTAGTCTCACGTCCAAAAACATCATGTTAGGGGACTTGCACCTCGAAGCAAGTCATCCTTATGCATCTCTTGGTTCATGTGAAAAGAAATAAGAAAAGGAATGAAAAGAAAAGAAATTATCTTCCACCACAAAAAATCACTCCAAATCAAATCCGGCACTAAGATTGACTACCAAATATAGGGTTTTAAGAGCTAAAAAATAAGTGATAGGAAGTTGAATAAGAGATCAAGTTTCAAACAAGGCATACCTCCCACAATAAAGAGCGCTGCCGGTAAGACCAAATGTCCAATTTGGTCCCATGGGACTGCGAAAGAGGTTCCCATTATTGAAATAGCTTCACCGCGGCATTTCATGCCTGAAGAACAATTTTCATATTTTTCATGTCAATTTTTACTGTTACGTTTTATGTAGAAGTATATTAAGTTATGCCTAGAACTGCAAAAGCTTAAGCATCTATTTACGTCATAAGACACAATTTGCATCTTTTGCGCTTCTATCTTTGACTATAATCGATTTTTATGAGGATTAAGTTTGTGAAGGTTGAATAACATTTTGTGTCACTAAAGAGGCCACTTAATTTGGCCTATATCGCACATGTTAAAAGGTGAGAATTAATTCAAGTGGAGGGCTTCAAAAAGAGCAAGGTATAGGCCCAAAAGAATATGGTTGGAAGTAGTGATAAAAGATATGGAGACTTATGGTCTCACTAAAGCTATGACCCTTAATAGAGTAAAATGACGGATTGGGATTCGTTGGGAAAAAAGCTTTATCTCTCTCTCTCTCTAAAAATTATATAAGATCAATTTTATAGTGTAGAAGTATGCCGTAGTTTAAAAACCCATCGGAAATGTTAGAAAACTATGATCATCTTGACCACGAGGTGTATGGTTACAAATAAAAAAAGGATTTGAAGTGATACAAATTATGCATCATGTAACAAAATATCTGGACTATCCATTTTTAAGACTTTCAAGTATGTTTAGATATACTCGATCGCGCATTATTTTTTTAGCTTTAAATTTCATAATTAGAATTGAAAATAGATTTTCAGGCAATTATAAAGATTTTTTATACCAAAACTGACACATTATGCAAAATTTAGAGGTGCACCTTACTTCTTTTTTTTAACGTAAAGTTGACCCACTATGCAAACCACACCCATGTCCATAAATATGTATATAGAGACCATAGTAAGCAAGTCTCCATTAAAAACATGATTTTTTCAAAATCTTCAAAAATTCACGTTTTTTAATGGAATCGATATAAATTTGTATTTTATCGTTTTTCAAAAAAACCTCTTCCCTATAATTTTATTTCTTCACTAATTAAATATTATTAAATTTTTATTTAAAGATAAGTATATTAACAACGGAAGTTAATTAAGAATCTTGATTTAACAAAAAATTCCATAAACATTTTCACTGATGAGTTCCCTTTTAAAAAATAGTATGAAAAAATACAAGCAATATATTCCTCAAAAAAAAAAAAAATTAAAACAATCATATATCTTAAAATAATTAGGCAGAATAAGAAGAAGAGTAATCTCATGAAAAATCTATTTTTTTTCTTTAAACCCATAACGTCTTTATAAAAGGCAAGAGAAAGATTCAATGATACTAAAGATTTATGTAGTTAGGAATTCAGTGCGAGATTCACAATTTCTTAAGATTTTTTTATTATTATTTTTTTTTTTTATGTATAGGGAAGTTTGATTAATTTCATATGTTATTTTTTGGTTTTATATTTTATTGGTGTATACAACATTTTATTTTTTGGATGAGCCACTATTTTACATTTTTTGGTCTTTACTTTTTCTTTTAATTAGCTGCAATCCTATATTGAGGGCATATTTTATTCTTTTTCTTTGAAAAATAATTATATACATTGGTTCATAGTGCTTGTTATTTACTAATTAGTTCTTATTTGTTATTTTCGATTTATTTTGTGCTTTAAATAAATCTATGATATGTTTTATGATGTGACAACAGAGTAAACATTATTGCTGGATTTATTGAAAGTTTCATCAATAGATTATTATGTATTACTCTAATAACACTAATAAGGCTATAAAAGTGTTGTTTAATGGCTTTAATATATGTATACAATAGTTGTAAATCATAATCTTATATTGTTTCATTAAGTATCCGATTTTTCACTATGTTTATTTGAACCAGATCCAATTGTCTACGATGTCTTAGTTTACTTTATTTTTTGATGACCCATATTCTGATTTCTTTTAAATTCAAATCGATTTATTACAGATGTTTTGGTCTACCTAATTTTTTTATTATTTACCTACTCGCTAACGACGAATTATCATTGAAGTTCCTCTCTCTACGCTAACGAAAAGAAAAAAATTGAATGATGGCAGAACGGACCACTGCAACACCAATTTTTGACCTTTCGTGCCAACCATCGCCAATAGAATTTCGTGCCTTCAAACACCGACTTGACATTGCCCTGCCCTGCCCTGCCCTGCCCTGCCCTGCCTTGCCTTTTTTATTCTTCCTCAAAATTTCCCCCAAAAATCATAAGCGCGAGGTCCATCCGTGTAACGTATCACGCGGGGCTTGTTTTTTCGATTCCTATTGGAATATGGGGTACTCTCGCTGGACCAATTTGTACATTTCGTTCCACAACCAAAACACTCCCCCATCGTGGATGCTTTTAGGGACTCCCAAATCGCCTTTATACATCTCTAATATCACTATAACAAAAAGCGTGGCCCATAATAAGGTCCAAATACTCCTGCAAAATTGGCTCTCGACCATCACCTATCTACACCATGACTTGAATATTAAGGGTTTTAATAACCCCAAAATATTTTTTTCATCCGTTGAATTTGATTACATGGTTCAAAGATGCTGTGAAAATTTTCAGCTCATAAAGAACCCCCCTATACGAGGGAAGCCTGGCCGGTCCAGCCCTAAAAAACTAGGTCCTTGGCCACGAAATGTGGCTTGAGGGCTGGGTAATCCCAGGCCAAGGGTAGGGCCGGCTCAGGCCTGGGCCATGGTTGGCCCGATTCGGCCCTGCTTAGCTTTTTTTTTCTTCTTTGTCTTCTTTTGTTTTTTCTCAATTTTACTTGGCAAGGCCAGGCCCTATTTTTCTTTATTATTGCAGAGTTTACAATAAAAGAAATACAAACGGATGAGAGAGAGAAGAAGAATCGGCAATGGTACATATGTCTACGAAGGTAAACAAATATCTCATTCATAGAGATTACTCTAGTTTACCAGAGATTTATAGAGTTACAATATTTGTCTTTTAGGAAACAAATCTCACTGTAATATTAATTCCACAAAATAGGAAACTCGATATAGGAAACTTAATATATTGTAATATGCAAGATAAGAACCTCAATATCTGGTTTCTATAACTATCAACAATCACCTTCTTTTGCTTTTTCTCAATTTTATTTGGCCTCTGCCTTGATAGTTCTATGGTCGGGCCGGGCCACAGCCTTTTTGGCCCGGTCATGGCCGAACCTATGGGGACTAGGGTTGACCTAAGGCCAACGGTGGTCGGCCCAAGTCTCACCTATTGTGACATCTACAAGAGGATTTAGGGGTGGTTTCAATAAGCGATAAGATGATAAAAAGTAGACTTAGGTAGGTTGGTTATATGCATCGTAGACCTAATACAATACTGGTTAAGAGGAACGATTTAATTTTAGTGGTAGCCTCTAAAAGGGCAAGAACAATGCCAAAAAGAATATAGATGGAAGCATGGAGAAAAAATATGATGACTTATGGTTTGACGGTGTGGCTTTAGAGAAGAATAGTGGAATGTGAATCATATAGCCAACCCCCAAATAATTGGGATAAGGCTCAAGTAATGGTAATAATAAAAGGACCCCCACATGTAACGCCTAAGAGACCAAACTTAAAATTGGTCTTGCAAGACCACAAATGCACGTTTAATTATTAAATGTACAATTTGTTGGCCTAGGATTATGTGAGTTTCCAACTTCCCCTTACCGTCTTTGACTAGTTCAGCATTGCCCCTTAAAATGAGCATTTGACCCTTAGCCCTTGGAACTATCGCATGCCATGCCCCTCTTTTCAATTCCACACAGTTAATAAACATAATACAATTTGATAAATAAATCGCAATCTAACTAGTTGCCAACATACCCACTCTATAAATCCCTCTCTAACTCATCTCAGCAACCCTAGGAAATTCCTCACTCTATACAAGCTGCACAACCCACTTTTCTCCTCTCTATCTGTAAAAGGTTCATTAGTCTGTCTCTCTACAAGAAGCTTCACAACCTTCTTTCAGGTCATTAATGGCTACAGACCAGGCCAAGATATCCCAACAAGAGGCATGTCCAATCTCCAATGGAAAGCCTAATAAAACCCTCTTCATATTTCAACTTTTTCTGAGGTTAATTGCAGCTATTGCTTCTTTAGCTGCCATTTTTATCACGATCACTTCAAAGCAAACCATCACTCTGTTTGGCGCGCCATTCACCGCTAAATATAGCTACTCTTCTGCCCTCAGGTGCCCCCAAAATCTCCAGTACATTGTTCAATTTGCAATTCATTCTTTACTAGAGAGATGGGAGGGAATTCTAACAATTCATCTTCGCGATTTTCAGGTTTTTTGTAGTAGCAAATGGAATTGCAGCTGCATATTCATTGATTTCATTGCCCTTCGTTTGCCTCCTCAAATATCCAAGGTGCAACCCAAGATTTCATTTCTTCGTATACACTATCGACCTGGTAAGACTCGTTTCATGTATTGCAGATCATCTCTCTCTGTCTCTCTCTTGTTTCATGTATTGCAGATCATCTCTCGACGTTTGGTGATTTACCGTTGGACTTTGGACATGCAGATGATGTTGTGTTTGCTAATGGCTGGGTTATCGGCCGCAACTGCTATATCTTATGTAGCCAAAAATGGAGATGAACACAGTGGATGGCTACCCATTTGTAACACTTTCCACAGGTTTTGCAGCCGTACAGGTGTGGCCCTGGTTTTCTCTTACGGATCTTTTGCTGTATCCTTTCTCCTTATGCTGCTTTTCACCAACAGGCAGAGGAGTTGAGCATTAAGATTAAGGAGTAGGTGAAAATATTGGTCAGTTACCTTAAAAAACTTGAAATTATAGTATAGGATCTATGTATGATTAGAGAGAGAGAGAGAAAGCACAATTATTTCGATGTTTGATTGTATAAGTAAAAAATCATATGGAAGTTCTATGGGAGATATGAGGTGGTTACTCTGATTTTCATTGTGGTTATTTGCCCTGTTCTCTTTTGTTACACTTCTCACTATTTAGTGTAGTATATTAGTGCAATGCATATTTTCTTCTTTCTTGATTTTGTTATCTCTCTCTCTCTCTCTCTCTCTCTATAATTCCATGTTTTATTCATGCTCTCTATTGGCAAGTATTTCTCAAGTGTGTGATTTTGGGAACTCTCTCTCTTCTTTCTTCAATGTTTGTGATTTTTCAATATCTCTCTCTAGTTAGTTAGAACATTTATCCATATGGTTGTTTTGGAAGCCTAAACCTTAGCAATTATATTATGTATCGAATTAAGTCCTAATTAAGGTTCCGGACGGAGGGCATTAAACTAAGGAAAAAGTTTATGCAAGTGTGAGGTTCTAAACAATCGAATTAGGGTGCACTTCAAACATCTCACTAGAAGAGGTTGTTTTGATGCTCAAATATCATCAAATTGATCATCTCGATTTCAAAAGGAATGGACATGAGAAGAAAATGGATTTCAAGTTTTGAAAATAGGGCATCATGTAACGTATTTTTGGACAGTCAATTTTCAAGATTTTTAAATTTTTGTAGATCGGCCTAATCTACACTATTTTTTAAGCTTTCAATTTTATAATTAGAGATAAAAATATATTTTAAAGCTATCATCAAGATTTTTAGTATTGAAATCACATTTCTTTATACTATTTAAAAATATGCTTTACTTTGATTATTTAGAGCCTCAATTTTATACAAACCGTACCGTTTAACTAAATATGAAAATTTTATATGTGCATCACCTACATGTTAATAATATTATATGCCTTGACCTCCCAGCCATCCAATTTAACTATACATTTGGAATTGCTCATTTCACGAGCTATGTTCAAATGTTTTTTATTTTTTATTATTTTTCTACAAAAAATTTTTGAGCAAAATTTGGAGCGACCTCCTACCTTATTGTGTCGATCTTGTCGTGCATGGAAAAAACAAAAAAAATTATTTTTGATAAAAATAAACAAACAAAATGCCCCTGCAATTTCAGGGTGTATTCTAGTAATTTTTCCTCATTATGAATATTTTTTTATTATTTTAATCACGTGGGTGAACACTCTAAAATTTATTGCAAACTTAATTATAAAATAAAAAATAAAAATTACATAATTTGAGTGACACACAGGAGATAACTTACGACACTATAACTGAAGCAATCTGTATTGTCCACTCAAATCTAACGGCTACCAGTCGGGGTCACATACACGTTACATGTGGATGAAGCTACATGTAATGTTTTCCCCTAAAACAAAGTTTCAAATCTAACGACTACGAGTTGGGATCACATACACGTTACATGTGGATGAAGCCACAAGTAAAGTTTTCCGTTTAAACCAAGGGTGAAGTCACGTGTCAAGTTGGCCCTTTAAACCAAAGTAAGACTGTACAAACAACAAAGCATAGAGTCAGACTCTAAAGCGTGGGATTTGATTTTTTTAGCGTTCTGGATCAAATTTAATAGTAATTTTTCGAAAGCACTCTATAGAATGAGATTTTACAGTATAACATTTAACTTTTCTAGAGATATTGTTAAATTTAATATTATGTATAGGACCCAAATGATCACCATTAAATTTGGCACGGATCTTTATACGAATCTATAGAAAAGTTGACCTCAAAAGATCACCATTAAATTTGGCACGGATTTATAGAAAAGTCGATCCTAAAGGAATCACCATTAAATTTGGCACGGATCTATAGAAAAATCAAGTCTCACACCCATGTGATAACTTTTTTAATGATGTGGTTTGAGCTATAAATCATAAAAGTAGAAATGCATGAAGAGTTCTAAATATAAATTTTTAAAAGATGAATCACATTTAAACGGAAACTCATTCGAACGTTCTCCTTGCAGTCATGTAACGTAACCCATGGGATTCTTTAACGTCACAACGCCCGTTATTTTCATGTTATGATCATTTCCTTCCATCTTGTCCCATGCAAAACCGAGGATTGAACTTGATCCCGAGGTTTTTTTTTGGGATAATTTTGTGGGAAAGGGGCTGAGATGGTTGTGGTAGCACACCCCATATCTCATTTGCACATTGTGGCTTCTATTCTAATTGACAACTTCAAAAACCATTAATTAATTAAAAATGGGTACCGGCCTGTCATCCCAATTGAATTACCCAAAAAATGGTGAGTTAGCTTTTTGCAAAAAATGGGTACGGGCCTATCATCCCAACTGAATTACCCAAAAAATGGTGAGTTAGCTTTTTGCAATTAGCTTTTTGAAAGTATTATTGGGATGGTATTAGTGATGGGAATGAAAATCACAATATGGTAATTAGTGTGCCAGGGGTGCTACCACTTGGCGTTAATGATGGGAATGGAAATCACAACCCCTTTTCAAGTTAGAAGTAATGGGGTGGTGTTTGTGATGGGAATGAAAATCACAATGTGGTGACTAAGGTGTCGGGGTGCTACCACTACGACCCCAACCCCTTTCCCACTTAATCCCAAGTTGGAGGCCAATAAAACAAAAGAGAGAGACAGTAATCAACTTATATTTTCCCTTTCAAGCTAATAATCAACTTATATTTTTTTAGCTTGAGCAAATCATCATCAAAGTTTTTCTCTAACTATTTGAGGTTGGTTGGTTGGTTATACGAACCCAGATGCACCAATTTGCTCTACATACTCTCGGTAGGTTAATAAGCCCCTATATCTTATCTCACTACTTCTGCATGTTTTGAGCTTGAGCAAATACATGTTTTAAGTTAAAGAAATGGATACAATAAAACCATTTATTTTAATACACGGAAGTCACAATCATAGTTGGCCGTTGATTTGAAATTGGGTGATTGAGAATGTGTCATTGTTTGGGGACCAAATCCAAAATTAACTTACTCGAATGTTTAGATGCACTTTCATCTATTAGATTTGGCAAAAAATGATTCTAATCTCCTTATATAAAAAATAAATATTCTCAAAATATACAATCTCCTAAATTAAACCTTCAATTTGTGAAACTAAATACAATGTTAGATGAGAGAAGTTTTAGGTCAAAAAGTAGAAGCTTGGTTGTTGATCGCCACTAACTTTTGTCTTGGGGTTCAACACCGATGCCCATAAAACCTCAAAACAAAAATTCCTTGTGCTGTACCTACGTCACGATTTACATGTGTGCTCAATAACTCATTTATTATACGACACCCCACTGCAATTGTACGAAAAAAATAATGATTGTACGAAAAATAATAATAATAATTCCATTTCATGTCTTTATTCCTTGGACATGCCAATTCACATGCAGTACGTAGAAAATGGATCCGTCCTGACTTGGGGAGGATCCGATTTCGGTTCGACATGGATAATTGTTTAGCCAGATCGAGATATAGTCAGCTGTTGGGATGCAACAATATGAGGTCTTGTGTTCTGTTGGATGAAGAACTTCTTCTTCTACTTAAAAGGAATTAAAAAGTTAAAATTTGAAAAATTGAGTGATTCCATGGATTCTTTTTTCAAGTTGGATTGGCAATTTTGAGTCAGTTGATAAAATCAATGGCCTAGGCATGCCATATGGGGATTGGGGCTGGGCTAGGGCCAGGGCTGGCTCACTTTCGACCCTACCCACGGGGCCTTTGATCCAGTAGTGTTACTCTTTTGCATAGAGGTTAACTGATCCATTCCTTTTTTCTGTTTTACACATTTTCTTACTCTCAGGACACGTTTGATTCGTTTGAAAATATATCTCAAGAAATATTTTCGTGTGAAAAAAAATATCTTATGTGGTTATGTGTGAGAATACTTCTGCACCAATTTGCCCTCAATTTGTGTGAAAAGATGCATTAGAATCAATTATTGTGAAAATATTTCCAAATCTAACAACATGAAGGAATTTTTTCATGTTAAAATATTTTTTGCACAATTAATCTTTATACAAGAACCCTAATTCCAAATCTTGAGGGTGTATAGCATGCTTCTGCAGGAGCATATATTCTGCAACAACTCCCTAGGGTAAAGGAGTAATTTGGGAAAAAAAGAGTATATATTCTGCAACATCTTCCTAACATTCAAACCGTTCTTGACTGAAGACCCTTAAGCAGTTCGATGAGTGGCTTGATAACACCAAATAGTTCCGTCCTAAAATTCGTCTTAGAGATCAAATGATCTACAACACTACCAAATCACATTAGACAAATTTTTGTTTTAGGTCCAGATTTTGCACTTCAAAATATAGTACAGATTAAATGATCTATTTTTAAGCTTCAAAATCTTTTCATTTTTTTAATTAATGATTTTGATGGTTTAGTTTCGAAAAGAAAACTTAAAAAAAGATTTATTTATTTATTTTTTTTTTGAAGGAAATCACATTGAATAAATTGGCCGGCTAAAAGCGCCAAACCCCTTCCACAAAAAAAAGAGCAAACTTAGTCATTGTCATATACATCTTCCATTTAGAACACATTCTAAGACTTAGTAAATTGTTCTTGGGTTTGGTAAAGCAGCTTACCTTCTCTCTCTCTCTTCTTTCCACACGGAAAGACACTTCGAATTTTGGTCCTTGTCACAAGAAAAATGGTGAGCGGTTTGTTGGGGAGTGGCACCCGAATTCTCTAGCATCAAACAAAGAGGTTTTGATGTGCACCAAAGTCACCACTTCCCTTTCCTAGGCGCGAATATTAAATCATATCAAATAAAACAGAACAAAAAGAGACTAAAACTGTTTATAAAGAAAAAAGTGGGTGACTCAAAGATCCAATTCCACCTCTTTGAGTGTGAGAGAGAGATTCAAATCCACCTGAGGACGAGTTAGGCACCGCCTTTGCTATTTTCACATATCAATATAAATATTTGTAACAACCAACTTCAAAGTTCATTTGGACATACTATAAGTTCTTTCTTGGCAGGGTGGCCCGGCCTCGCCCGGTCAGACCGGCCCTAAAAATTTGGGGCTTGAGCCACAAA